GAGTTAGTAAGCTTACTTCATCTGACTATTTCTCGACCCTTCTCGTCTGAAATTTGTTCTGTATTTATTTAAGGTGCCTCTCCAAGCAGTGTTGGTGTTTTGCTAGCACAAAAAGGAATGTCCAGTTCCTTGCATTTCCCGCAGGCTCAGCAAGGCTGATGGGAGATACGCAGACTCATCGCCAAGCCTTGGCTGTGTGTTTGGTTGTGACTGGGAAACACAAATATCTCTTCCGTTTGAAGTTCATCACACTAACTGAACTTGAAGTCCTGAACTAAACATACAATCCATTTAACTCGTTGGCGAAATCCTCTGCAACGATGGTTCACGGATGGAGGATCGTACTCAGTAGTCATGATTATATGATAGAACGCAGACGTGCTAAAGACATTCCTCATGTGGATTATCTCTCTCGACATTCTTGTTCGTTTGAACCTGATTCCGAATTTTCTTGCCTCCATGTTCAGCCACTTCCCATATATCTCGTGCGGTTCTAATTAATGAAACAAGGAAGTGATTTTACTCAAAACTATCCGCTTTAAAACCTGGCTGATCACCTCCGTTGTAGCGGAAGTTTGCCCAATTTTACCTACGCGATGATGAGTTATGTGTTACTCCTGATGGCATATTGTGTGTCTATGAACGTATTGTGATTCCTCCGCCTTTGCAAACTGCAGTCCTGACTGATCTTCATTCTGGACATTTGGGAAGATGTAGTCTATGGCTCGATGTCTGTGTTGGTGACCTGAGATTGATCCTGCTATTCAACAGACTGCTTCAAGATGTGAAAGCTGCCGACACGAGGTAAGAATTCAGCCAGCTAAATGGATGTACTGGCCAATTGCGTTTGAAGTCTGACAGTCTGACCACCTTGCTTATTGTGGTTCATTCCTTCAGAAGTATTATGTGCTTGGAATCATTGATGCCTATTCGAAGTGATCTGGATTATTCCTGGAGGATAAATTATATACCAACTTTACTACTCGTGTCCTCCGAGACGTGTTTAGTTTTGAATGTGTGCCTTTGGAAATTGTGCATGGTAGTGGTTCAAATTTCTCTGCATCGTGTGTTACTGATTCGTTACTGAACCTCCAACTGACTGCAGCCCGGACGAAGCTAAAGACGACTTCTACCGCCAAATCACCATCCTCCTCCGCACAAAACCCCGCACCTACATCGAGATGCTCGCCGATAACCTAAATGCGCAGGTTTATGAGCGCGAACTTGGGGGTCAACAGAGCCACGGTACTCGCAGGACAGACAACGGCATTCGACTTCGGCAACTGCGAGCCGACCACGGCTTCCTCCTTTCCAGCATCAATTATCGACGTTCCTGAAGCCAACGAGCCACTTGGCGACCTCCGGCGCCTGGTCAATCTTGGACGCAAATTGACCACATCGCTGTTAGTTACCGTTGGCGAGGCTGCATAACGGTCTGAAAGTTAATTCGGAACACTTACATGACTTCGGATCATGAGCTGGTTTATGCTAACTTCGTTCTGTGCTTTAGAGGCACCCAACAGCGTTGCCGGAAACGCTTTGACACAGGCAAGCTCGCAGTCCCAAATGTTCTCGGCACATTTCAAAACACATTATCCTGCAACCAACGTTCTCTATTCTCCGAGGTTGAGATACATTGGGTACAGATCCAGAGCGCCTTGTCTGTGGCTTCACTAGACGATCTGTTATTCATTGGATCTCCGCACAGTCTCTCCAATTAATTGAAAGTCGTCGAGCAATTCCCGCCGGAGTTGAGTACAACGCACTACGCAGAACCACAGGTGCTGAGCTCAGACAGCTCCTCAGGAAGTATCGCGAGGTCTGGTGAAAACAATGCGTCGGTGTGATGGAGCGGGTGGCCTCATCAGAAAGCTCCCGATAACTCTTCCAACTTATTCACTCCACGGGAAGCAGAAGACAAACAGTGAATGAGGTTTTGTGGGTAAATGACGGTGAACTACTTCACCGTCGTCACCGTTGTCTGTTACGATGGGCGGAGCGGTTAGAAGAGCAATCCAACTGGCCAGCAGCCCAACCGAGTCTATCTTCCGGGGTTTACAGTGCTTCCTGGTGCGTGGATGTTTCTCCGTCAACAAAGGCCGAAATTTTCAATGAGCTTCGTCTAGTAAATCGTTACAATTCACCTGTGCCAGATGAACTTCCTCCTGCCCTCTTTAAATATGGAGGTTCTGTTTTTAATCGCGGACTGACATCTATATTCCATCAGATTTGGACTAATAAAACCATTCCATCTGACTGGAATTTACCGGATGTTGTTCCTGTTTACCAAAATGGAGACAGGACCATTTGCTCCAAACATTGTGGCATCAGTCTCATTTATGTCGCATCTAAACGGCTCGCTGCCCTACTCTTACGGAGGCTCAGTTGCGTACGGGAACAGCACCTGTGTGAACAACAAGCTGGATATCGCTCGGATCGCAGTTGCGTCGATCACATCTTTACGATCCCACAGATATTTGAACACCGCCATACGTGTAATCGAGCAACTATGGTCATATTGGAGATTCCGGCGGCATTTGACTCAGTTGACAAAGTGAGTAAAGGAATTCTGTACACAATTCCTCTACTGATTCCGGTTGCGGGTCATGACCTGGAGCGTGTTAAGCTATTGGCACTCCTTCTCTTTGGGTCTCCATACGGGAGACGTACGGATCCAACAGCGGCTTGACACGACGTGGACGATTTCATGTGCTGTCGCCAAGTGAAAGGCTGACACCCACGCGGTCGACACCAGCAAGGTCATTGACGAGCGAATAGAGCGCGACGTGGTGGAGGCCCAGGTGTCATGAGTAGGACGTGCCTGAGCCATCTCAACTGGTGCATCAAAACCAGTTGGTTGAAAAGAATACTCGCATCCCTCAAGCTGAGACTTCGATGTTGCCACTAAACACGAGCACTCTTCCTTAAGCAACCGTTTACCAAGGCAGAAAGACGACGCGTTTCTTCAATGCGAACCGGCCAGTACTCGCTCTCATACAACAACACAGCGAACAGATGAGCTGTAAACGTGGCTCTTCAGCGATGATTTGAGGTCGCGACGACGCCACAAGTGCCTCAGATTGGCAAATGCTGATCGGGCATTAGCGATGCGATGAGGGACTTCTTTGTTGATAGTGCCGTCAGCAGAAACACAGCACCTAAACTAGATCAAACTACCTCCCTGTTCAAGTTGTGCACCTTCGTGAGTAAGCACGGGAGCACACATATACACTATATACGTTAGCTAGTGGGAGAAACCTTAGAAACTGTGCCGCAATACCTAAAAGAAAAAAGGGAATAAAATGCAACACGTGCAAACCAGCTGAGCTACCGTTAACGGATGAGCATCGTTCCGGTAAGCTACTAGCCGGCTACTATGCAGCAGAACAATAAATAATTTACCATGCAAAATAATGAGATTGTGGTTGGAGGGGAGGTTAAGAGGGATGGAGTGGGCAAAGTAACTCACAGCACGAACGCCACTGAGGTCGGCTCCTAGACATATCAAAAAGTGTATTCAGCCAAACATTTGCATCGTCTTTCGAACCCCAACCAGGGAGCCGAGACGCTCCAATTGAGGCCAGCTTCAAAGTGAGGGCCTTCATTCATCTTGACCAAGTTACCGCTTGGCCACCTGTCTTCTTCTTCCATCCACAACCCCCGGCGCGCAACCGAGGCACGGTACAGTAGGGTCGAACGTACCGCTACATTGTACACTCTACCCCTCCAGGGGGAGGGTGATGTCGCGCCGGCGTCATAAGTGGCGAAGAGTAGCAAAAGCGTCCCGAGCTCTTGCTGTACGGTTCGTGATCTCATCCTCAATCCCACGGGCGCTGATAAAACTTCTAGATATTGGAATTTTTGAACGACTTCTAGCTGATCGCCACCAAGGGTCAGCGAAGGAGGCCGTCCAGATGAATCTTGGAGGAACGCTTTGCAATTTGAAGTTGCAAAGCAAAGCCTGAAGCAGGAGCAAGTAAAATCCAATCCATGAGCAGTGTTTTACATTTTGATGGGACGAAGCTCATGTCATACGTAGATGCTTCAACCGCCAAACGATCCAGGATGAGTTGCATACTTCGAGGATTCTCACCAAGCAAGGCAAAATCCTCAGCATCAGAAGTCGGTCGCGCGCTCACCCGGTAGAAGCTCTAGGCCAAAAGGTTGAAAACCTTATAGAGCACTCGAAAGAATGTCTTAGATTGCAAGTTAAAGAGGAATGGGGACATAGGACAGCTCTGGCGCACGCCGCTATTGACAGCGAATTGCGAGGAAAGCTTGACAAATACCCTCACTCTGCCGGATGTACGAAGGTAAAAAGCTCATAAGATGGCGGTGTATTCATCTGGCACCTCGTTGTTTAGCAAGCAACGCCATAACGCATGTCTATCAACGGAGTCAAAAGCGGTACCTCTGTTTAGGAATATAACGATAGTGGGTCCGGGATGAATGTGGCGATGTTCGAGGAGCTGGCGGAACGTGAAAATTTGATTCAAGCATCCGCGGCCAGGACGGAAAGCAGCTTGTTTTTCACGGTAGGATGATTCACGTATTGGGGATAGTTTACGGAGTAGAATAGATGCCAATAGCTTGGAGGCAACCGAAATAAGACTAATCCCGCGATGATTTACACAGGAAGTGTGAGCGCCTTTCTTGAAAATTGAAACAAAAGCTGATTCGTCCCAAGAGGAAGGCAATTTCACTTCATGCCAGACTTTCGCGAGCAACGAGGTCAGCTAGTTACCGATCGCCACGCCGCTGTACTTGAAGAGCTCCGGAGGAAGTCCGTCTGAGCCGGCAGCCTTGAACCGCTTCAAGCGTCCAATCTCGAGGCAGACTTCCTCTTCGCTTGGAGGATTCAGTAGGGGTATCCAGGGTGGAAAACAAGGCTTACTGCATGCAATGATGGATGGTGGAGGCCAGTTGAACTGCGAGTGAAAGTGCTCGGCCCAGCCGTCCAGACGCCTCTGTTGGTTGGTGATCGGAGACTCATCCAATTCTCAAATAACTTCACTGACACCAGGCTTCCTGAGACCGGTGGACCAATTGAGGGGGAAAAGCTTGCGAGTTTTGCCAGAGACAGCAGCAGTCTCCATCTCTAAAGCACTCTCAGACCACCTTGCCTCGCGATCCTTGGGTAGGTTTTTCTTGGGCAGCCGGCTTACAGAACGGCGCCGCTCGTTGCAATCTGATTCCGCCGGACTATCTTTGCGTAGTTCGAACAGATCCAGAGAACCGGCAGAAATCCAAGTCTTTACAAAGCTTCGAACTAGGCCGCAGCCTGACTGTCCGGAATTGGTCATCATTTACTGTGTACAAGTCCAGTGTCGCTCCACGTCTTGCTGTGGATTGCAACTGAGTGCGTATGCCATTGAAGACTGCTAGCTCGCCTGGACAGACGAACCAGCTAATCTGTTTACATCACTCTTGCGATGCTTCGTGTCTCGGGACCACCCAAAATACACGCAGTATTTCGCGCAGACAAGTGCATGATCTGAGTCAAAGAAGGTGGACCAAAGAGACCTGCAGTCTAGTAGGTCGCCGTGCCATCTGAAGCTAATGGCAATATGATCAAGTTGAGACCATGATTTTGTTGGAGAAGGGGGACGCCACTTCGCGGAACACCACTTCGTGCGCCTGAAGTTAGTGCTCGAGAGAACCATGGACAATGATTTATCACGAGATAAAAGCAATGCTTGACACGTCACGTAGGATGGTTATGGTGAATATGATAAAATCAAAATATACCGAACGTCTGCCGAGATGAATAATTTGATAAATAACATCAGCGTACAATTAAAAAACCGAGCGTAAACGTTCAGAAATATACTGGGGTGCACTGGTCGTTGATAAATGGTGTGAGAAAAGTAAAATGTGGTCGCTCACTTGGGTCCATTTGATACATAATTCCTGTAGAAAAGCATGCTTGGCGTAATCCACAAAAGAGGAGTATAGGTAAAGAAGTTCTGGGAGCAAAGAGCTACAGCTAATCGCTTTTCTGTAGAGGTCCAATATAGGGGAAGCTACAACTAAGTCTGGGAGTACGTTCCAGGGTTGGCAAACCCAAATGGAAAAATAATTCCGTCGATACTCTAGACGGCTATATTGTTCCTTCAATTCTAAGCAGTTACCCCTGAGCTGCGCGTTGTGGCTAACTTTCAGCAAGTGGCGGCATACTTGGTTGGGGTCAATCAATATCTGCTACGCTAATATGAGATCGCCGCGCAGACTTCGACAACGTCCGCTGAAAGTTCCCAACAACTTCAGCCTTCGGTGGTAAGATTGATAGCGCAGGCGTTTTACATTCTTAGTTGCTCTTCTTTGTGGTGACTCTAACGCCTCTAGATCGCACTTCTACCAAGGTTGCAAAGCGTGAATAGCCTATACAACAGGCAGGCGTACGTAGGAATTGTGCATCATTGGGAAGCTTGATAAGTCGGATCTCCCAAATGCCCTTCGCAGCATGCCAACTTGCTGGTTACCTCTTTTCGCAGCTACCTCAGCCTGTTTTGAACAGTTGTTGTTGCTCTGTTCGATCACACCAAGATCAAGTTCCTGGGAGCTAGTCTGCAATTCGTGCGCCTCAAGCAAACATGCGAAGTTTTGTCTATAGCGTAACTGCACAACGCCACATTTGTCTACGTTGACTGGTAGGGTGTTTTGAACTGACCAGTTCGAAACCGTATTAAGATCGCACTGGAGCTGTTCACCGTCGTCCGGTCCTCTGATCCTTCGCCATATCTAGAAAGCATCAGCAAAAAATGGGAAATCGGAAGCAATTGATCTTGCTAAATCGTTAATGAACATCAAGAATAGACGAGGTCCAAGCATCGAGCTTTGTGGTACACCACACATCACATCGGTTGCATTGGTCAATGATTCTCGGACTCTCAAATGTAGCCGTAGCTGGTGTAGAAAAGTGTTAATATAACTCTGGATTGAGTCGCCAATGCCATAGTTTTGAAACTTCAGAAGAAGAATGTGATGGTCTAAGCGATCAAAATCTGTTGAAAAGTCCAGCTAGATGACTTTGACACCTGCCTTATCATCCTCAGCTTCAGTTCAACGGTTACGTGCAGCTGATATGTTAATATTACACAAATGCTTTTGCGGAAAGCTATGTTGCTCTGGGGCTATTAAGTTGTGGTTTCCCAGATATTGCACCAGCGCACCTGCGATGATTGATTCCATAAATTTGGATAGTACAGGAAATAGTGTTATTGGATGGTATACATGCAGGCCAATTTCTCGGTCTCTAATAGCACACAGAGGGATGAAGATGTCAAGTTTGGGAGAATGCCGACTGATGGGAGGTCGGCAGTTATTCGTTTATTTTGATGAGTTAGTGATACCTTGTCTGAAACTTGATTCGACCAAGGTGCGTCCCAATCTTCCTTTAGACCTACGTCAGAGTCAATTAAAGCAGCAGTCAAGTTACGCTTATGTACATTCGTCAGTACGCTTGCTGCTTCAGTTAATTTAATAGTTGAGCTGTGCAAAGCTTTTGCAACCTTTAACTGAATTCCAGAAGGAAGTTGTTTCCGCTTTCTCCATCATCGATCTAAAATATCCTTTGCTTGTTGCTCTGACTGAACCACAAGTTTTAGGATTCTAAGGCCATATCCTCTATAATTTGGTGAGAGAGGTATCCTGGTGAGCGATAGCGCTACATTATTATCTAAAGTAAGTGTTTCACGAATGAATCGCCACTGTTCTAAATTGTGCTTTTGCTCTCCTGAACATCGTTAGAACGATGTTCTAGCACGCCATATGTGAAGATTGTGTTTCGGCATGCTTGCTTGTTGTGCCCCTCTTCGGTGTTCCCTTTGCATTGTCGCGCGCTCCAAGGGACATCAAGGTATATGCGTATGCCACAGGATCTGTGTTTTAGAGTGCTTGCGGTGAGTAAAAGCTTTGTTATCTCGGTGGAGGATTCTAGTGTCACTCGAATATGTCTGGGTTCTCCATAATGTGGAGACTTCGGATGACGAGTAATTCGTAAAGGTTTATGGGCTTGACTTTGACACACATCAGCACGCATAATGAGTTCCATTGGTCTTGGTTGTCCAATAACGTATCCAGCAATGTGATGGTGGTAGATTGGAGGATATATGAGCCTACAACCGTCCGGGCACTATCGTTGGATTCATTTTTCGTTGATCCATAAGGTATGGTACTCGTTAGTCCTGACTTGTTGACAAGTGCTGCGTGTTTGCTGTTTGTCCGTCTATTCACCTTCACGGTGTTTACAACAGAAGAGACTACAACAGCGCTCACTTGGTGGAGCTTTGCAGCAATCTCTGCATAGGTAAGTGAGGTTCCGGAGCTTTATCTCGATAAGAGACATTTGAGCTTCAGGTACTGTGGGTTGGTGTTCGAATGCTTCATCCTTCTTAATGCTAAATGTCAGGTCCATAAGAAATTGCTTAACCAGACGTTTTATGTGGTGCCAGATTTTCGTTGCCATGAGTAATGTTTGACTCTCGTAGGTACAGTCAGATTTCGCCAGGCTTTCTGCCAGAGTTAGAGAAGACAACGGCGAAGGGGACGTGACTGATTGCGGTTCAAGGGAACCGGCTGGTGTAGCATTTCGTTCCTTAGAAGCCGATACACTTCCTTGGTGCATACTCGCTTCCATTAAAGGAATACTATCATTTATTATCCACACGGCTTCTGCAGTTAACCGGTCGCACTTCTGAGCTAGGATAAGCAAGCACATAACGAGTGCCATGGTGGAATACGCAGTACAGAACCAAAGTGCATCTTGAGCGCTATTTCTCTCTCGTACCCATTTTGGGACACATTTGCACATTTCGGATGGCACCATTCAAACAGTGCGAGCAAGCCAGACGGATTTTAGCTACTCGATGACATTCTGCTAACCCGCAAATACCTTTCGCTTGGAGGTGTCTCGGATTTGCATTTCTGCCATTCAATGTGGCTTTGTTGCCTGACCCAGTGGGTTGGTTTGCGTTCTGTGCATTTCCAGCTTTGAGGATGGCACCAATCGGTCAGGCGAGCGTGGTAGTTGCAAGTTCAAATTAGCGGTCGGCTTGGTCGCGCGGTCCGTGTGATGGTTTACGCAGGCGCACTGGCTGACAAGGTCACAAAACATGGCAAGTGAAGTAAACCTGCTAAATGCATCTGAACGTGGCTCTGAACACAGATTGAGAGATCACAGATTCTCTCACAGCTGTGTTGGGAAACGCCGGATGGGAATAATCTTAGGCACTTCGGACTGCCTCGAGAATTCCATATCAAATGTGGTCCCACAGAAAGACAATCGGCTCAAGCTGATTGAGTTCTCCGTTTACGCTTAATCACAGACGCCAGTGAAAACTGTTAGTGATGGCACAGACTCTACTCGTAGAAGATATTTCCACGTATGCTGGGTCTGTGTGTCGGAATGGTACATCCGGTTCGAATGAGCGTACAGTGACAACGCTGCGAGAACAAGGAGATTGGATAGAAGGGAATAATTCAAATGAATCAGGAGCACGCACCTCACGCGCGTGTGCGAATGACCTTGCGTTTAGGATCCATGCGGATAACTACGTATTTGACCAGTCATCACCGAATCGAACACGACGGAGGTAGCCCGCTCCCTGAAAAGACATAAGCCATGGTGGACTATTCGACGTTCCAAACATTTAGAATTTTACACGTTTTCTTTGATATGGTTAACTATTACAATCGCTTCATTTCAGAACGCTCCAGGCTCATTCAGCCACGGACGGATCTGCTCCAATTTAAGTTTTGCGAATTCGAACCAACTGCAGAAGCCTTAGCAGCATTCGGCATGAGATACCTTGCCTTATAAAGCGCTACTACGTTTAGTCGCTTGAAAACTAATACTGTTATATATTAAATTCGCAAAACTGATGAATCTCAAATTGCTGTTGACGGAGTGCCAGAAGATGGACCTACATGTGTCGCTCCCGGTGTGTTTGTCAAGGCAATCGATGAGCACGTTACCTGCTTGCTAGCTGCACCGGATTGCCTTCGGCTCTGAGCTGTCGTTGTCCAGGTTGAATCTCCTGGTAAAGTGTCTATGGTGGGAGAAGCAGAAGCAGGCAGGTTTGAGATTTGTCCAGTTATGAGAGTGAGGTGACCCCGTGGATTTAGAGTCACTGACACTGTAGTGCGGCTGGAGCGTCTAGCTCTCTTTTTCGGCTTAGGTTTATTTTGCTTTGACTGGCTGAGGTATTATCGTGGCCATATTTATCTCAGCGGGATCGATCTTAGTATTTACATAATGCGCGATTATCTCAGTCATTCTATCGCACTTTTCATGGGCAAAGATAAG